TCACTGTGTCTGTATTCCTCCTTTGTTGTCTCCCTAACTTCACCATTGGAGAGTTGAGGAGGTCGACCACACGATTGTACTTGTCCTATTATAAAGAAACCGTAAATAATGTTTAAATGGTCTTATAAGTATAGCAAAATGTGGAGTTACTATATTGCATTCCTATTTTTGGGAGGGTGTGTTTTTTGCAATGTACATAGTGTATTGACTGTATTCATTTATTAAAATATTGACACTTTTTATGATGAACAATTTTGAGCAAATGAAAGGGAAAAGAATGCAGAATGAACACTTGTAAACTGATTACCTAGATATACAAATGTTACACTTTGCCCTATTTACTTATTTTTGTGAAGTAATTTAAAGTAAATGAGTGAGATTTTAGTCCTAAATTCTTCAGAATGTTTATCTCTTAAAGACAGTTGCCTACATATACAAAAATCTTACATTTCACCAAATTAATAATATTTTCTTAGTACAATCTTCTATTCTCTCTATATTTAAACATCCTGATAGCCTATCTTTCCCAATATTTTGTAGGCTGTTTATTATAATAAGGATATTAAGCTGTACCCTTGAAGATGTTTAAGTACGTCAATAATCTGAATGTTATATAAAAGTAAATAGTTACCAAATATGTGGCATAATATACATATACAATGCATAGTTATAATTGTTATTAATATCTATAAATACTTTGATGTGGTTTGGCTGTGTCCTCACCCAAATCTCATCTTGACTTGTAGCTCCCACAATTCCCAGTTGTTGTGGGAAGAACCTGGTGGGAGGTAATTGAATCATGTGGGCAGGTCTTTCCCATGCTATTCTTGTGATAGTGAATAAGTCTCACAAGATCTGATGGTTTTATAAAAGGAGGTTTCCCTGCACAAGTTCCCTTCTCTTGTCTGCTGTCATTCGAGATGTGACTTTTACCTTCCGCCATGATTGTGAGGTCTCCCCAGCCACGTGAAACTATGAGTCCATTAAACTTCTTTCTTTTGTAAGTTGCCCAGTCTTGGGTATGTCTTTATCAGCAGTGTGAAAATGGACTAATACATACTTCAAATAATATCATAAGCCATTTTAGATAAAAATAGTGCCATCTGAAGCAGGTACAAATCATCATTGTTTTCTAATAAATAATTCATGTATGCAATGACTTAATTATTTTCTTAATTGCTTAATAAACTGTAACATTGTTCATACAATATTTTTTAGAAGCATGAATTTTTTATTGAGATAGATGGAAAAATCCTAACACTTCTCAATTGCAGCTACTATATTTTGACCTATAAAGTCCCATTATGTATTTTAAAACACAGAAGTAGAATGACTCCTTAAGGACGCCTAAATACTCTATGTAACTCAATTACTATAGACTTGCACCCTTTCTCCTTCCTAAAGAAAATACTACTTTGCCATTTTCCCACTTTGTCAGATTATAGATGTAATATAAGCTCCAATAGAAACATATAGGCATTATTATAAAAATCAGATTCTTGTTTCAATACTTCTAAAATAAATACTGACCTTTGCATGTTGGAAAGTTAGGTGACCACCCAAATTGGTAACATTGAACTGAATCTGGTCCAACTCTTGTAAGATTTTGTCTGCAAGAGAATTTCAACACATCTCCAATTTTGTATCTTTCCTTTTTTGGGTGAGCATCTATATTTGCTTCTAAAATTGGAATATGACATTCTGTTTCCAAAAATAAAATTAAACGAACATATGTGAATTTTAATTGCAGAAACAAATTTAATGTGTGTTATATAAAAATAAGATGAAAGGGGTTTCATATACAGAGGGGTATAAAATATATTCTTGCCCTCAAGAAAACATATGAACTAATTATTTATACCCAACAAATATATCTAAGACACTTCAGACAAATTGGGAAACTGTACAGCAAGGTGAAATTTTATATGAGAATCTCTTCGGGATTGTAATAAAAAAATCCTATGAAGTTACTTATACAGTAAATTATTTAATTTGTTTAATTAGGAATATGTTTTAATTTTGCTATTTAATAGTAATAAGTCTAATAATATTTATAATACAGAATATGAAGATCTTTCACATTTAAGTCACAAAAAATTTCTTCAAGTAACAAAATTAAAATGCAACATATTTAATTACTTTTTGTAAAATAAAAAAATGGTAATGATGTATGAAAAGTAGATAAGTGGGCCAGACGCAGTGGCTCACATCTATAATTACAACACTTTTGGAGGCCAAGGTGGGCAGATAACCTGAAGTCAGGAGTTCGACACCAGCCTGGCCAACATGGTGAAATCCTGTTTCTACTAAAAATACAAAAATTAGCTAGGTGCAGTTGTGGAAGCCTATAGTCCCAACTACTACGGAGGCAGAGGCAGTAGAATCACTTGGACACAGAAGGTGAAGGTTGCAGTGAGCTGAAATCATGCCACTGCACTCCAGCCTGGGTGACAGAGGAAATCCCATCTCAAAAAAAAAGTAGATATGTGAAACACCCAAACAGGATACAACTACTAAATGTTATGTTGAAGGGAATATTAAAAAGCCATTACTCTCAATTTTGCAAAAGAGTAACTAAATATCAAAGATTTTTTTAAAAACTCATCTTCTACGTTTTTTGAATCTTTCCATTATACACAACTGCATCACTAATATGTTCATAAATACTAACTCATTATGAATATCTTCTCATTCAATTAGAAATAGATATGTATATGGCTATGTGTGTAGTTTTCTCATTTATCATCTTTCACTAATGGTTAGTTTATAAAATTATATATTGTTATGTAAAGTAAATAATTGACATTCAAGACAAAAGAAATAATCTGAATAAATCAAGCATACACAAAAATAAATTTGAAATATTTTCTAATGAATAATCTCATAAATATTTTTAAACTAGCTAGTTTTATGTACCATTATTGGCACTTTAATGGTTTGATCACAGTTTACTTGAGCAAATACCAAATCCCAATAGAATATGCCTTGTGTATCCCTAAATCCCTGTTTTTTATTCCAATATTTTGCTTGGCAGTTCTTTATTGGTTGTTTATAGTCTTTTTCTTATCTGACTGTTAAAAACAAAATGCCATTGAAAATAATTGACCTTGGCTGATATAGGGTTTCCCAGCCGCTTTTTTTATATATGGTTATTGCATGGTTGTGTAAATGGAATAATGGCCCCAAGATATGTCTCTGTACTAATTCCTGCAACACGGACTACCATAGCTTGCAAGATGTTACCTTACATGAAAAAATAGACTGTGCAGATGTCATTAGGAGTCTAGTTGCCCTGAAACTTTATTAACTCTCCACAGTGTTCTTGAGCTGCCATTCAACCTGGGACATACAGTGCTCTGCTGATATCTTCCACTTTGGAGACTCTGACTTCCTCCTTCTACTCTGATAACCTCAATATGCTGTCTTGTGCTTTCGGTTGGTTCCAGGTCTTTGCTAGGAACCAACAGGCAGAAAGGGAAAGGTAGCTATGTTTTGAGAACTTGAACAATAAGATATGTGCTTTTTCTGATTAAATAAAATGTGCTAAATTTTGAAACAAGCTTATTTTGGCAACTTAGTTTCTTAATGTCATTGTCCACTAAATGGAACCAGGACTTATTGGAAGTATGGCTGATTCCAGTTCTGTGGCAGGGGAAACATGAATTAAGCCTGGGGTATTTTTTGTGTCACAAAGCAACAGAATTGTTCAAAGGCTAACAGAATCTTACAGACTGTACACAGAGCCAGCTTGTATGGGTAACAGTGGGCCAAACTTAATTTACTAAGCTTCTAAAATATAATTGCTGGCCTGACAATAGCCATCATCTCACAAAATGAAGAGAGCTTATTCCTGACATGAACAAGTATGGACAAGAGAGAGCTTGGAAGTATTTATACCATAATTGAAGCTTATGAATTTTGAACCCTATTCAATCACTGGACTTGTCTGGTGTTAGTAACATTTCTTATTTTATTTTAGCAAATGTTAATAATGTTTCAACCCCTTATAATTGAAGGAGACCATGACTTAACTGTTTACTGAAAAAACTATCACAGTTCCAGTTGTTTTAAAAAGATGGCTGGGCAGAATCATAAAGACACATGCACAAGTATGTTCATTATGGCTCTGTTTACAATAGCAAAGACCTGAAACCAACCCACATGCCCATCGACAATAGACTGGACAAGGAAAATGTGGCCCATATACACCCTGGAATACTATGCTGCTCATAAAAAACGATGAGTTCTTGTCCTTTGTAGGGACATGGATGAATCTGGAAACCATCATTCTCAGCAAACTGACACAAGAACAGAAAATCAAACACTGCATGGCCTCACTCATAGGTGTTTGTTGAACAAAGAGAACACATGGACACAGGGAGGGGAGCATCACACACTGGGGCCTGTTGCGGGGGGCTAGCAGAGGGACAGTGGGGGTGGGGAGGTTGGGGAGAGATAACATGGGGAGAAATGCCAGATGTGGGTGATGGGGCGATGGAGGCAGCAAACCACCTTGCCATATATGTACCTATGCAACAATCCTGCATGATCTGCACATGTACCCCAGAATCTAAAGTACAATACAAATAAGTAAATGAAGTCAATGAAAACCCCAGCTGTTTGCTGGGACCCTTCTCGAGACTGTGCAGGGAGGGAGAACCCAGGAAGAACATAGTGGTCTTCTTTGGTTGAGATTAGTAAGGTCCGCCTTGGAGACTATGGTGGCCAGAACTTACGGGACATAACAGCAGAGAGAAAGTGGTATGCAGAGAAAAAGCTATGGAAGTTTCCATGAGGCTCCTTGAGTTTTTAGCTGAATACTGTGCTGTGCATGCATAGGATGGAACAGCATTGGGCTGAGCGAAGAGCAATTACTGAAGAGCTATAAAGATGAA